ATCGGTATCGGCCAATACTGAACCCTAGGTATCGGATCGGTATCGGCCAATACTGAACCCTAGGTATCGGAATCGGTATCGGAGGTGAAAAAGGCGGATCGGAGCATCCCTAACACATACTGCTGCTGCAGGACAATAAACACTGTCTAGCCGCTCTTGACAGTCGCGGTAGCACTGTCTTGTGTTGTTTCCACCAGCGCGGCAATTCATCACTAATTGATGGATGTCTAAAATATAAAAATTAGGAGAAGCCTAAAACAGGCCCGAGGCCCGGCCCGCGTCTGAACTATGACGTGAAAATTGTCCCGAAGCCCAGCCCGAGGGGTGTAAAAAAGTCTGGGCTGAAATGCAGGGCTCTAGTGTGCCAAATATGCGATTTGAAACTGGCCTACCACAACAGCACATCAAGTTTGAAAAATCAGTAAATTTTACTTAAAAGTTCTGTAAGTAGTAGCCTATAGTATATTGTTGGTGTAAAAAAACGAGCTGCTTTTATCTGCCATGTTAATCAGTAATTTTACACATGATAAAAACGTGCACTTAATTTGCTTGGAAAATACTTGCGAATACGGCAGTCATAAAAAACGTACAGTAGCCCAGCCTAATAATAATTTGTCTATATTAAAAGCATTGCTCTTAACAGACCTGTGTGTTTTGTATCACTAGTGCAGTGTCCGTTCTTGGAGCATGTAAGCCCTGCATGCTCAATGAATAGAGAGGCGTGCCGCTTCCGGCTCGCGCTGTTCTGTAGTTTATTAAAAGTTTATTAATTCTGAACGTGTCGTGTGTCCATATTGCACCAAAATGCGACACTGCACTCCCACTCCCACTCCCACAGCTACACACCCGCCACGCGTGAAGTCGACTGGATGAACGGTTCTCGACATAATAAAAATGCAAACAGACAGACAGACACACAGAGATTCCTGCCTTTATTAGAGAGAAGAATATGTTCAGCCCCCTCCCTCCGAAGCTTCGAATATTCTGTGTTGATTACTACCGAAGCTTCGAAGCTCAAAAAATGGTATTCGGACCAGCCCTACTTGTGTTACATGTAGAATTTTAAACAAACGTTTAAGGTTTCACTAGAAATATTTTAGCGAAATGAATTTGCATCAGAACTATTGTGCTCTATTGTGTCGCGCTCCGTCTGTTTAACATGCATGCGCTCGTTAAGTGAATCTGTGACGTTCACAGAGACGTGCTAGCTTTCAGGACTAGCCTGGAAAACTTGTCTCAAATGCTTTAAACAGCACACGTGTCTGTCAGGGCAAGGCGTGTTAAACGGCATGATCATGAGTTTGTTTGAAGCGCTAAATTTAAAGCATTCTCCTGTTTATGGCAGCTTGGGTTCCTGTGTCTTCTGCTGTATGTAGGGTGACCATACGTCCTCTTTTCCCCGGACATGTCCTCTTTTTGGACCTACAAAATGCGTCCAGCCGGGATTTCTAAATTGCCCAAAATGTCCGGGTTTCGGCTGTTTTCTTAATCCCGCTCCCGCTGAATCTCTGACCACTGACACCTGCTCCCGCAACGTGTTTCGCTCACCTTATTCTCGACCTGTGATCAGTCAAAGCTGACTCCTGCAGCTCTTGTTGGATGTAGGGTTGCCAAGTTTTTTCCACAGAATTGGGCTACTTATATATTTTTGTATATATTTTTTTACATTTTACCTTATTGTATATTTGTATAGTTTACATTAAATGTTCCCTCCTGGTGGAATAACCTGCCCAACTCAATCCCAGCAGCTGAGTCCTTAGCAATCTTCAAGGATCGACTAAAAACACATCTGTTCCATCTTCATTTGACCCTCTAACTCTAGCACTCTCTATTCTATTTCTATTCTAACTACTTGTTTTATTAAAAAAGAAAAGAGCCTTTAACACTAGCATTCTCTATTCTTTCTACTTAATTTATTTTTATTTATTATAAATAATGACCTTCTAACACAGGCATTATCTATTCGTTTTCTGTTCTATTGACTTGTTTTATTTTTATCTAAAAATGACCCTCTGACAGTAGCATTTCCTATTATTTTTCTATTCTGTCTACTTGTTTACTTTTTATTTATTCTAAAAACAAAACAAGCAAACAAACAAAAAAAGCCTTGCTACATATACGTTACGAATGCTACATTAGGCGAAGCCCCGCCCACGAACCCCGCCCCACACTGTCCTCTTTTTGGAAAACTAAAATATGGTCACCCTACTGTATGTCATACGCGTTTTATCCATTGAAATGCATTGTTCACTACTGTAAAGTTCTGCGCACAGCGCTCAGATGCAGATAATCGATAATCAGACTGGTTCATTATCGTTTGTAATCGATCATATTCATTAGTTGCTGGATCCCTAAACCGCAGAGATGTTCTCTGAGGGTAAACATCGCTGCGACCTGAACGACAATCTCCCGTCACGCCGGAGAAGTGGACAGACGGTGTGTTGATGCTAGTGCTAACGGCTAATCAGCGAGAAGGTGAGGTGAAAACACGCGAGTCAGGGGAAAAACCGAGCACTCCACAATCTCACTCTCGCTCAAACGCTGTCTTTCTAAAATAGCGCAGACGTGTGCTGTTACTGTCACAGAAGTGATCATTTACTCGGAGTAATGCTTTCACTGAAGAGGATGTTTTAATAAACCAACAATGACTCTTCTCGTACGGAGACGCAGCCTGCAGCCAGCACCGATGCCAGGAGTGTTAAAAACCAATTAAAATTACAGCATTGTGGGAAAATGGCCCTGAACACTGGAGGGGAACTTCACACCTCAGATATAAAGAGCAGCAAATCACAGGCCCAGAATCACGGGTCGCAAATTAGACGCCAATGCCCCAGATAGCTGCTATCATTTAATAAGCAGTAAACATGATATCTGTCAAATACACTGCAGAATGGCATAAACAAAAAGCGCTGTATGTCCTATTGTTGGTGGAACGTGATAAACAGCTTTGCTAATTAATCCTGGTGGCCCTGAAGGACCGAGCTCTTCACAGGAAGTGCTGCAGATAATCACATCCTGTTCGGACTCGCTGCTTCCTTTGAGAAGACGGGCAACCCAGGCTTTCCCATCATATTGTGCCTCTGTAAACAATCCTCTATCAAGCCAGAAAAACATTTCACGGAAGAACGAAAACACTACTGCATTAGAGCTGAATAAACGATGACGAAATGAAAGGACTAATAACTTGCCGAAAGCCTTGATTGGGAATCTCTGCTTTATATTTTACATTTCTGCATGCTAATATGAATACTTCAGCATTACAGTGCTGAGATATTCCCTTTTTCCATCTTGTGAGTGCTTCATTGCATCTTTTATTAAACAGATGATTGAATTAATTTATAATATTTCTCTGTGAAATTGTCTAGTTTTGCTTGAGTGCTCATGGGTTAAACAGTGAGAAAAGCCTTTAAGACTACAGGGAGCTTTATCTTAACCTATCGCTCTGATTTAAGCTGTCAAGCTGTGAAAACGGCATCTTCTGCTCCATTAATACACAGCAAATGGTCCTGTTTCTGACACCACGATACTAGCGGCTGGCTACATGCTGAATGCAAATAATAACGTCACACTAATCCTAGAATTATGCGGTTATGATAACAAATTAAATTAATTTAATTTAATACATTATGGTGGTAAGACCCTTATCTTTTTTGTTGATATTAAAACTGGCAGAAGATTCAACATGAGCAGATGTTAGACGACGTGCCCTCATCCTCAAAACCATGAACGAGGAGAAAGAAATACGAGCGGAACGGCCTCAAACACAGTTCAGGGCTCTGGTGCTGCTGATGTCTGAACGAGTCTCCTGAAGCAGAAGCAGCTGAAGCTCGGCTCTAATGCTGTTAGCGAGCACATCATTACACTGGAAGAGCCTCTAAAACTCAATCTAAACCTCGAGTCCAAACACAGCCTCTGCACTTCAATCAGAATCAGCCGCATGCGCATCCAGCTACGACTGATTTATGAATGAGAGCATCTCACTCCTGTGTGTCTGAAGACAGTGAGAAGATCAAATGTGTATGTGTGTGTGCGTGTGTGTGTGTGTGAGAGAGTGTATGTGTGTGTGTGAGTGTGTGTGTGTGTGTGTGTGTGAGTGTGAGAGTGGTGTGTGTGTGTGTGTGCATGTGTGTGTGTGTGTGTGTGTGTGCATGCATGTGCATGTGTGTGTGTGTGTCAGGCATCCAAACGAAAACCACTTCAAGAGTTTGAACTGCGGCTGAGAACATGGAGGATTGGGCTCGTGTTCACGCGCTAAACCGGGAGAAAAACACGCTCATGTTCACTAATATTAAACACAAAGTGACCCGCTGCACTTCACAGCCAATCAGCATCACTGCAGCTCAGAACTGAAACACATCTCATCTAATCAGGTCTGTGTGCGGCTCTGATTAATCTGAATGAGTTTCTGAGCTCTGCTGTAATGATGATGAAGAGAAAGTGTTGGGTGTGATGTCTGCTAGTAATCTGACTGAGGGACAAAGCAAAAGATGAAGATGAGGTCAGTTTACAGCAGCTCATGTGAAACCCTGAGCATCAAACACACATCAGCATCAGTCCAGAAATCAGACTTGAAACGACAGTCAATCTATTTAATAATGCAACCAGCAAAGCTCATCTGCTCCTGAGACCATCTCACATCATATGAGATCATGAAGATGAACCCAGAAACATCGTAACAGAAATAACACACCTGTGAAAACCCCGCAAACTTCAGCATATTAACAGAGACTCAAACTCGTCTGATCAGATGCAGTCAGATCATTCAGTTTATGCTAATCAGATGAGCGCGGTCGGAGTATTAATCTGCTCATCTGATCCGACGAGTGTTACTCGATGAAGCAGTGACGGATGCGGTTCTCCCGCAGTGGTGCTGATGAGGAGGAGGAGGAGGCTGAGGGATGAAGGACACGCGGGAGTTAGTTGAGGAAGGAAAGTTCTCGTCTTACCGGATCACGGCGGTGTCTCCCTGTCTGATGGTGATGTTGTCGGTGGATCTCTGGCTGTCCACGCTGATCACCGGGAATCCTGTGGGAATAAAGCACAGCAGTCGGAAAACACACGCCTGCAGCTGACGGAACGATGTGCGTCCGCACACGAACATCTCCACAGGACAATCCACAGAGAAACACAGTGAAGAGATGAAGAGCGCGAGAGATCCGCGGGAACAAACGGAGACTGAAGCGGCAAGGCGCGCGAGATGAACTGAGGAAACTGCCTCTCTCTCGCTACACTAGCGCTCTGCTGCCCCCTTCACGAGAGTCCCGTTATCGGTTGTCACGACAACAGCCCGCTCTGTGCGCGCATCTGAATGAGGAGGACGCATCACAGGCTCCTGTTGTTTGTATACGAAGCGAATCAAAATGACAACAGACTAACCCAAACCACGAAACAAAGCATAAGTTTTCACATTATGATTTTTCTTTTGCAGGTTTTGTTAGATTATCTTCTAAAGGAGAATGTAGTGCTTTAGCACAGCTAGTAAACCCCGGCCTCTGCTGAACAAACCCACACACTGATGCGAAGCCCCTTCACAGGAGACACAGTTCAGAACACTCCACATACTCGCCTTCACTCAATAAAATACAAACAATATCATATTTTTAATCTTACTGAATGATGTATATTGCTTTTACTCATTTATTTAACTACCATTGCTGGAGCATTTTATCTGCATCATTATTATTATTATTTCTTTAAATAGAAATAATCTGTCTATTCCTGCATAAAAACCATAGAGATGAGCCACTGCTTGACTGTGTGCTCTCTCTCTCACACACTCTCTCTCTCTCTCTCTCTCTCGCTCTCTCACACACACACACACACACACAGTGTAGATGTGAGAATGCATAACATCACACACTTCAGGCTGTATTCAGCAGCAAACAGATCAAAGGTAAATGGTGGATAATGTGTGTGTGTGTGAGAGTGTGAAGAGCTCTTGAGCACTGTAGGATAAGTGCTGAATGTGTTAGCGCAGTGCTGACAGTGCCGCATGATTGACATTCAATATGACCAGCAGCTCAGTGTGTGTTTGTGAGGCCAATTAGAGCTGCTGCCTCACACACACAGTTTAACAGCTTCAGCAAATAATGAGACCAGCACTGCATGTGTGTCCATCAGACACAAATATACAGCCCCTCAGACACACTCCTCACTGCCTCTCTGTGACACCCGCGTGTGAGTGTGTGTGTGTGTGTGTGTGTGTGTGTGCACAAGCCCCTCAAACTGTACTTTTTAGATAAACAACACTGATGCCAACATATTTATATCTGGTCAGAAAATGATTCTATAACTCTTGTTTAAGTGTTTGGTTTTGGAGCACTCAATCCAACATTTCTTCACATAATAAAACCACAAAATCGATTTTCTCAGCCTGCAGGTTTGGGAAATGCGCCATGCAAACTGCATTTTGCACTAACTTTTTAGGTGTCTTTGTACTGGTTTCTGATTTGCATAATTCATTTAGAGAATCACGTGCTAAACCAAAGCATGCAGAGGATGCAACAAACAACACTCTCAATGGGTTTCTCCTGAAACAGCAGAACATAAAAGACAACACAGATTCCTTCGGTTAAATCCAGCTTTATATACCTGTATATATATACACATCAGACCAACTCAAATATCACTGCTAGAGTCAAGAACGAAAGAAAAACAAAACAGAAAGCTGTATTTGGTGGAAAACATCCAGGTGGACGAATAAAAAATGTGTATGATGCTCCATTTCACCCTCCATTGCTCTGACAAAACTGGAAGGCTGTATATGAGAGAGAGAGAGAGAGAGAAACCTGAATAAAACCAAAATTATGATCTTTCAGAAAAGATCCAGATCCCAGGGAACACAACACACATTTACATTAGGCACTAAGCAGATAACACACACATCACACTACAGCTGAATATCTGAAATCCTTCTGGACTGTATTTCTACACTCCTGTCATGTCAGAGTTTGTACACAAACAATGTGTGTGTTCAGACTAGAGACAGAATCTCTGCAGCTCTGGGTGTGTGTGTGTGTGTGTGTGTGTGTCTGTCTGTCTGTGTGTGTGAGTGAGTGTGAGTGTGAGTGTGTGTGAGAGTGAGTGTGTGTGTGAGAGTGTGAGTGTGAGTGTGAGTGAGAGTGTGAGTGAGTGTGTGTGTGTGTGTGTGAGCAGCTCCTCAAAGATTCCGCGCCGTCTTGCTAACTTTATTACATGCATCTAAATATGCGCTCAGTTCCAGTACTTTAGAGACTTCTGAAAATCCAGTTTAACAAAAATCTTTGTGCCAAGAAAATGAGTCGGCGTGGAGTTCATATTCCAGGTCTTTCCTAGAACTGAATAATTCAAGCCGTGCATAATTATTCCTAAAACACTCCCCGCTGAACTGCTTCTTCTCCACGCACTGCTCTCGCCTCAAGGTGCGAGAACTGCAGTAATAACTTCTGCATTTTGTGTGGTTTACTGCCAGAATCTGCATTAAAAGAGACTCAGTCTAATGTATGCTAATGGCAGATATATGCTAATGCCAGGGTTTGGATTGTTAGACGGAATAGTCCATTCATTTTATTGGACAACAGCACGCCGGTTACGCGGATGAAGTTTAAACTGCGGCGAGTGTCACGATATTCAGCAGAGGAGCATCAGAAAGCCGTCGGCGGAGGACTGCAGGGACGACTGGACGTCATTTAGCATCAGCTAATGATGGTGACATCACTCCTATAAATGATGAAGGGAGTCATATATCACAGCCGCGCTCGATTCTTTAACGGCCACATTAAGTTTCTCTGATTCCAGTGCGAAGAAGAATCAGGACAAACAGAGAGTTTTCTGGCTCAGGAACCAGCTGTGATTTATCCTCGGCCTTCTGAAGTCTCGCCGCGCAGGATTCTGTGCTCAGAAGGCCTTTAGCATCAGACAGCAGCATGAGCTACAACAAAACATTTGAATGAATTTAGAAAGCGCACACACAGCGGTGCGCTGCATTATTAAACATGCTGGAGTAGATGCAGAGGATTCATCATGTTCATCCAACACGCAGCAGCTTCTATCTGTGATTAAAACGACTTCAGCTGGAGAATATTACAGCCTCACATTCATAACTGCACAGACGGATGATTATCTCTGGAAGGACCAGCTTGAAGATGACAGCAGAAGATGAGAAGGTCAAAGTGAATCTAAAGTGACTATAAAACCCAAAATACACCAGTGAAAAACAATAAAGTGAGAGTTGAGAGCAGCTGGTGACCAGTTTCCACAATCTCTAGACTCTGTTTCTCAACACTCGGGTCAGTTTTATTAAAACTCGTCTAACAGCTTCTGTGTGATCATTTATCATCGCTTTGCCACAAAATACATTCAGTGAAAACACCTTTCAAATGACATCAACTCTGATCTCACTCCAAAACTCAACACTTCACACGCTCGTCACAAACCAGTTCAACACTAAACTCAACCAGACAGAAATCTGACGCATTCCTACAGAAATACCAGCGTGAAATACATTACTGTCACACCCCTGTGGACTGTTGATTGTAGTTTCTCCCTCTGTGTCCTTATTTGGTTGTTCCTGTTCTCATTATTAGTTAATCACCTCATTGTGCTCACCTGTCTGCCCCTCGTTATCTGCCCTATATCAGTTCCTGTCTCTTGTATTCTAGTTTGTCGGTTATTGTGAATGTTGATGTCTACCCTGTCTGGATTTCCTGTTGTCAAGTCATTAAATATCTTCATCTTCGTCATCCTGTCTGATCTCTAGAACACCCTGCCTGTGACAATTACAAATCTAAAGAACGAAATACTCCTAAAACTACTGGATGCAGCTGAACACCTACACAGCGTTAGTTTTTCAACTTCATTCTCATTTCTACAAAACTGAGGAATAATGCTGTGCTGTAATGAAAACGAGAAACACTCCTGCTTTATAAAGACATTTACAGAAGCACACAGTGTGAGATTTGAGCTGTTTTTAGCTCATTGTTTTATGAGTGATAGAGTGTATTTGTTGGGTGAAAACCTTTGCTGGTGTGATGAAAAATGACTTGATGTGAGACTGTATGAAGTGTTTTGGTTTAGAGTTTAAAAAAAAAAAGAGACCTAAGTGTTAAGAAATGAATGAAACTGAAAATCAGCGGTTGATCTACGTGCCAGAATAACCTGCGTAACCTGATTATCTGAAAGCAGTTAAGACCCACTTAAGAGTTTAGGTTTGGTCAGCAGAGATATGTTCAATAAATGTGCAAATGTGGGCAGTACTGGATGAGATAAAACAGCATGTTCAGTGTTATCAGTGCTCCTGCTATCCAGTGTGTGTGTGTTTCTGCAGCAGAAGCTCCAGTCCAGACACACACAAGAGCATAATACTGTATTTACTGTGAGGATTCGGCCAGAGGTCAGCGCTGCTGTATTCAGATCAGGCTGCTGCTCTAATTCAATTGTGACCAGCACGACATCATCTGATTACAAGCAAACGTGTCAATAAACACCAGCAAACACGAGCTGCGGAGAGAAACACTCGAAGGTCACCGCGGCCCTGACAGATGCACTATGGGACTGGACGCACAAACAGTCATAGGGATGTGAGAATCACTGAAAAAATTACAAGTGGCTCTTTTCACTCATTTAGACTGTCGTTTAGATTTCAATATCGATAATGAAATATTAGGGATCTGAAGATGCCATCACTCATCCTCCAGTGCTGATGAAGGAACACTCGTTTAGTGAGGTTTATTTGCTCATGGGTTACTTATTCATTTTCAATCTAAAATGTTTGCTTCAAGAAAACAAACCCAGAGGACAAGGACACACACACACACACTCACAGACACACACACTCTCAGGCTGTGTGATGGTAATCAGACCTTTGCGTCTCAGCTGAAGGAGACTGTAGAAAGCGAGTGGCGGCAGGAGTGTGTAAACACTCACATTCAAATATCAGCGTTTGAAATCTTGCGGCTGTCAGTTTGTGTTTCTCTAATGGAGTTTAAAGTTTGACATCTGCCCTGCAGCAGACCTGTTACTGTAGACCACAGAAGAGATTACAACAA